TGAAACTAGAAGGTAGTGTTGCATAAGATTTGTCTCACATGCAGAAAGCCTACTGCATCCCACATATTTACAAGTACCCTGTTCCACAAGAGAAAGATGATTCAAGAGTAAATTGACGAATGGACACTCAACCAATAATTGAATGGCAAAAAATTAAAATATTAACAATATCAAGAAGGATAATAATAATAATGATGATGATGATGATGATGATGATGATAACAATAGTAATAATTATGATAATTCATGTCAGCTAGCTCAAGAAGCTCACTGTTCCTATATCAATCTATCCTCTAGGCCCCAATGATGATTAAACTATGCTTCTTTTAATTTTCCCAGTTAGTTAAAAACTATTTTCTCATTTCACTGCAATTCCATTTTTGTTTCATACAACAAAGCATTCCCCATTGTAGGGTATTCCATCATCTCACCCTTCCACTGGTCACATGTTAAACTCAAGGTATCATTTTTCAGACCTCGCTCCCTTCTCAATTTGGCAGCTCTTTTGGGCATAAGTTGCTGATTGAAATGGTAAAACACTCCCTCCTCAAATAAATAAATAATAGTCTTCAAAGCTTGTATGACTTGCAGATCACCTATTTAGTTATTTCTGAAATGATGAAAAGTCTTGTTGTCAATTATGTGCCAGAGACACCAGTGTAAAATTATTTTGACAGATGTTATCATCTTTTGTAGTGTCATGACAGAGACTAAACAAGACTATATTTTCCAATCTACTAGGTATAGTTCACTACTTCAAGTGTTAAAATGCCCTCTGTTCAAAGAAAAAAATTCCTCTATGTTTTCACAATGCCCCAATCACACCTTTTAAGATAACTCTATGAGGAAAAGCTTTTTTTTCGCGCACCATCCTAGGATCATTTCGAGATGTTTATCATCTTCTGTATTACTCCAAAACAAACAATCAGTAGCACCAGGAAACATTGGGTCAAAATTGGGTCAAGTTCCAAACTCTATTGATACCATTAATCGCTCACTGACTCATTTCAATTACATATGTGGCTTTGCCTCCTATGTGAGGTAACAGCCACAAAAATGGAAAAATTACCTTCTTTTATATACACTCCTACCTCAAATCCCGTTAATGAGTATAAACATTTCCTACTGTATAATTTTCCTGTTTTCCATTTTCAAGGTTTTTAGTCTTTCATTTGAGAAAACAGTCCTCACTTCCATCAAAATATATTCATCTGTTTTTTTTTTTAAATATCTGTTGCCCAAATAACTTATTTTATCTACATTTCTTTAGTAAGGAAACTCCCTCATATGCTATAGGGTGACAAAGGGACAGCCATCTCAAACAAAAATTTGCTAACTATTCGTCAATCCAAACCTTCTGTGGTGTATTCATAAAAAAAATATTGGTGTGTACTCTTCATAGCTCTATTGATAGTATCTGAGAGGCACAGGTTTGAATGGAGTCAAGGCGTACATTTTTTTTTGCCTTCCTTTCTGGAATTGCTTAAATTTCAGTTTACCCGGGAGCATCACTGCTGAAACATTGGTTTCATAGATATACTTTTTGTTCAAGATATGCTACATGGTAATGGAAACATTTCAACAATTGAGACATTCCAAAGTAAATTTAAAATGAAAATAAACTACTTCAGTTCTTATAATTGATAGCAGTAACTCCATAGGATTTGAAAAAGAAAGCCTAGATGAATAAAACTCCTGAACCTGGGCCACTGAATACAACCAAGGCTCCTGGTACCCTCATCAGCAAGTACCACATGCATAACCATAAATTCGTTAATAATAGCAACACCATTAAACCATCTGGTAACAAAAAGAGGAAACGAACTTCTCTGATCTACTGGAAAAATAAATTCTGTTTCACTGAGTACATATGTATGAATCAACAAGAGATAAAAAACAAAGCCAGCTCTATTTCAAGCTTTTAAACAGGATCACAGCTACCGAAACGAAAAGTTAAGAAATAACATTTTGATAAACAGACGATGAAACATGTACTTTCTACCTAAACCCAGACAGGCATTCATAGTTTGTCCCCAGACAAATTCTGTTTACTATAGCGCCCTATCGTAGTTTAGTACAGTAAAGCCTCCTAAATTGATTAATAGTTCAGCTGCAAACGAAATTCAACCTAGAAACTATGGCCCTCGAAATATAAAATAAGGCAGTTGGAAAATTAATAGCTTATTCGATATTAGGCGCTTTTGGTGTGTAGTAACGCCGAGTTATTTTACGAGTGTTGCTGGCGCAACGCGTAAAAATACCGCGTGATACCTCACACCGAAACGTCTAATATTTAGATACATACCCAGCCACTATTGACATCTTGGGAAATAAGCTAAATTTTATATTCTACTCATACCTTACATGTTCATATGCTTTCCAAAGTGATTTGCCTCAAGACAATGTTATCAAAATTAAGACAAAGTCAACTTACACACTTGCGACTAAATACAGGAATGGCTCCGACCTGTGATTGGATGATAAAAATAGTAGTAAAAGTTAATAACTTATATCTTAACTCCTTGCTTGTGAGTATGGTTAACCGCGTGTCTCGAAGCGGAACAATGAAATATCAATGTGAAAACGCCAATGAGTCAAACAAGAAATGGCTACTCACATAATGAAGAGAAGGCAGAGTCTAGCTTGTTCAGCAAGGTCATTCAGGGATATTCCGGCGATGAAAAAGTCATCCGCTGACAAGCTCAGCTGACAAAACTCATTTAGTCAGTTTAGGCGGACAACCAGAGACTGGAGCCATGCGTGTATTTCACCGCAGACAGGAATGGCTCCAACTCATGCGTATGTTAATTTTTTTTTCGTTTCGGCTAAATAATTCATACACTGAGATAAAAACTGAAAGGGCGATTTATTAGGTTCTTCTAAAGTTGAAGTCTACAGTACCTGCAAGTGAAGCCCTCTTTTCTTACTACAGGGCTATGTAGTTCTTAAGTTTTAAAATAATGCAGCAACTGCATCTCACGTTTGGAAAATCACGCAATGTTGCGTGACGCTGCAACAGATGTTTTTAATTTACAGTATGCTCTGCTGGAGAAATATGGCTTGGCCACAATCGAGGGAGTTTTTTTTTCGTGGAAAACTGATTTTCTAGGTTATTGTTCACATGAAGGACAAATCCATTCATCGGGCTCTTCATCTGTTTTAAAACTACTGTTCGCACAGCGCTGCTCACTAGTTTAGTTTTAAATTTTATTTTCAAAAACTGTTTAAAAATTACTTAAAAATTATTGAAAAAAAATTATTAAACGTTTGAGTCGGAGCTATTCCTGTCTGCGGTGAAATACAGGAATGGCTCCAGTCTCTGGTCGTGCGCGTGGACTGACTAAATGAATTTAGTCAGCGGAGCTAGTCAGCTGATGACTTTTTCATCGCCGGAATATCGCTGAACTACCTCGCTGAACAAGCTAGACTCTACCTTCTCTTCATTATGTGGGTAGCCATTTCTTGTTTGAGTCATCGGTTTTTTCACATTGGTATTTCATTGTTCCGCTTCGAGACACGCGGTTAACCATACTCACGTGCAAGGAGTTAAGATATAAGTTATTAACTTTTACTATTCTTATCATCCAATCACAGGTCGGAGCCATTCCTGTATTTAGTCGCTTGTAACTTACACAACCGACGCCATCTTGTTAATGCAGCCTCATTCCCAGATTCCTCTGTATTGTTCATTCAGGGAAGAGAGGATACTGGAAACGAGGTTGAGCAGTTGAACCAGGATAACATAACATTTATTCACGATGAAAAAACAAAAGTAATAAAACATCTTGAAAAGAAAAACCGGAGGTTGACTTTGTGATGTTTCCTTAAATAAAGGTAAAACAGCATAAGGTATATACAGTAAAAGAGACTCAAGAACTAATTCACACACATACACACCCCCACTCTTTATCAATTTCCAATGAAATTTTACAGAAAAGGGCATGCCCGCAACTAGTAAAGGCTAATCTAGGCGGGCCATGCCTTAATAGCCGAGGGAAAGAGACAGTATTGAATAATAACAAGAAAAACCGTTACATTTACCTAATTTAGGATATTAAATGTACAGCTACTGTTTATAAAAATAGTCAGGACAGATTAGGAGAAGTATTACCAGGATTTTATATCTCAGATAAATCTCTATGAGAGTCTTGTGAACCTAAGATGTTGATCTTTCATTGACTCATTGGGTATAACACTTATCGTTAGATTTGCAATGGCATGGCTCCTCTCCAGTGTGGGATCTTTCAGGTCTTTGTAAATTTCCCTTTTGTGTAAACCACTTGTCACATGTTTTGCACTAGTATGGCTTCTCTGCCGTATGAGATCTTTCATGGGTTTGAATACCTCTTTTCTGAGTAAAAGCAATTTTCACAAATTTTGCACTGGTATGGCTTCTCTCCTGTGTGGAATCTCACATGTACTTGTATATCTCTTTTTTCAAGGAAACCACTTATCACATGTTTGCAGTGATACGGCCTCTCTCTAGCGAGGTATCTTTCATGTTTTTGTAGAGTCCCTTTTAGAGAAAACCACTTGTCACAACTTTTGCACTTGTATTTCTTCTCTCCGATGTGAAATCTTTCATATGCCTGTAGATTTGCCTTTAAACCACTTGTCACAACTTTTGCACTGGTATGGGCTCTTTCCAGAGCGAGATCTCTCATGTACTAGCAGATCTCCCTTTAGTGTAAGATACGTATCACAAGTTTTGCACTGGTATAGCTTCTCTCCAGTGTAGCATCTTTCATGTACTTGTAGATGCCCCTTAGCTTTTGTGCAAAAGACTTGTCACAAGTTTTGCATTTAAATGCCTTTTCCACACAACAGTTCCCCACGCGTTTTGTAGATTCTGTACAGAATTTAGTGATTTTCCATTTCTTTTGTACCTTGTCAGTACTTGACATTTTTGTTTTGCCATGTAAGCATCAACTGGGAAAAACTCTTTGACAGCAAAAGGTACTTACAATGCTAGAAGAAAAGAAACTCTTTTAATCACGTAAACTGCGGTGTTATACAGGGATTTCCGGCCCTGAGAAAAGCCGTAACAGCACACGTGAAAAAATATCGTATTTTTTGACGTGTATTGATATAGTCAATCAGCTGCTGACACGTCACTCGCCTTTGGTGCCACTCGGTCAGGTTGATGAATGAACGGTAGAGCCTTCGCAACTCTAAATACAAGTTATTTGTCGGAACTTTCTCGAATTATGGCGGCTAAAACACTAAAAAGTCCGTATCGCTGATAGAAGAAGGGGAAGAAAACCAATATACTAAAAGAAAAAACCGAAAGTTACGTATTTAGTGGCTTTGATGTTAGCATTTCTCGGCTGAGAATGAAAATCGACAACTGGAAGATTTGCCATCGGCCGATTTTGGCCGTTTACCTGAAAGTTGTTTTTGCAATCATGGTTCAGCGCATTTTTCTTTCTTAAGAGTTAGAGCCAACGCACTCTATGATTGTTATTCGGGGATTTTCGATTCATTTATTTTCATTGAAAATAGTCGGCCTGCTTCCCAGTAAAAGGGCTTTTGTGTTTATATGATAAACAAAATAATACATGGTTGCTTGTAGATATGGAATTTCTCTTCTCGTGTTCAAATCGACATCTCACTCGTGAGCTATCGAGTGAAACACTCGAAGAGAAATTCCATATCTACGCGCGCCCATGTATTACTCTCTATTTATTCAACCGAAGGGAGGACATATCTAACAAGGTGTTACCTTTGAAATTCAGTACCAATAGATTAGGTTTGAACAGGCAGAGAAAATGGGCAGAATTCGGTGTAAAATTTATTTCAAACAGTAATACTCCTACATGAATGGATGTTTTATCATAACAACTGCCATTAGCAAAGGTATTTCCAGACAGTTCATAGCGAACAATTTATTACATCATGGCCGCCGCGCATGCGAATCGCGTCACTTTGTGGACTTAGATTTTATTTCGGTGCGTTTGAAATTACAGAAAAAACAGTGAAAACTGGACTTACCGTGGTCAAAACCTTCCTTTCATAGCTTATGAACAAAACTTTTCTCAGGTCGCCAAATCCAATTTAAAAGAAGAAGATTTCCTCTTGCCTTTGAGCAATATTGTTTACAAAGAGTTGATGAATCGACAGTTCCCAACGCTTTTGAAATTTCCTCCTGTTCCTGAAAAATCCCCATCCTTCTCCTCTGATTCTCCTTAAATTTTTCTAAACGTGCTACCTTAAAACGTTCCACATAAGTTCTCTGTGCTCATGTTTGATGTCCTTAAATCTGAATCTCTTGTTCGAAAGCCATAGTCGATTTCTATACTGAAAACGGCCCATTAAAACTAGAATTAACGGTTCCTAGCGTCACTGGAAAAAGGGTTAATATTTTCTTCTCAAACTAGACGAGTTCATCCAGGTGTCACTTTCATGCGCTCTGCGCTCGCTCAAACAACCTTCGTGCAATCATGCTGACACTAGCCTTACTTCGTCCACCATTTTGAAAATTTCTCTTCTAGCTAGGTAGCCTCTCCTCCTGTTTTCCGAGTTGGAATACAATACATTTTCCCGGGTTTTTTAAAAAAATGTCGGATGACAGAAAGAACTGTCAGCATGAATATGCAAAAGTAGTTGAGTTCAGTAAACCGGAGCTTATACCCCGTTCACACCAAAGCTTAAACAAGTTTAAAATTTGTTTGATACACAGATTTAATAATGATATGCAGCTAAATTTTTGGAGACGAAACCAATTTTCGCCCTGGAAATAACCTATCCATTGTAAAAGAAATGGCATAGAATTATCACTGAGGACCCTCTGAGAAAACCTCACAAGTTTTCCCTGGCCTACAGCTTGTGTAAGATTACGATGCTCTGTTGAACGGAACAATTAGGGACCATGCATTGCGGTAATTATAAATTCATTCTCCGCATGCTAGGTTTAAATGGAGCAACAGCTAACTATGCATGTGCATGGTGTAAAATCCAAAAGGATGATAGATGGAAAACAGATCAGCATTTTAGTTATTTCAATTCAAAGCCACTTTCAAGGTCTTTAAAAGAATTGAAAGAAATGTCCAAAAAATCAACAGATGATTATGGCTGCTGTAAGGAACCCCTTCTGGACATTGAATTGGATCATATAATTGTTGATGAACTTCACCTCCTTTTAAGAATAACTGATATGTGTTAACTGCCAATTTAATAACAGAAGTTAATGATTGGGATATTGAGGAGAGTATTGAAAACCTGATCAACAAACAGGCACACCTACATAAGTTCATTCACAGCAGCAGGTCTTGTGGAGTGTCTTTTGATGTCTGGGAAAGAAAAATGCGGATGGCAAAGAAAGTTCTGTTCACGAATGGATAAGTCTAATAAGAAATGATAAGAAAATAATGCTGTATCACCTTCCAGAGAAAATGAATGATTTCTTGAGGCCTGAAACTGCTGAAAAGATCATAAAAATATAGGTGTACTTTGCAGCCCTGTAAAAAATCTCAGTAATTGGCAACCGAATACTAGCCCCACAGAGTTTTGGTTGAAAGCAAAACAATAGGTGAGTGATTTCATTTCTCTCAAAGGATTAAGGGAAGGTTAAAAGTGAAAGAGAGTTACCCAATACCTTCATATTATGGTTTCCCATAAATCCCATGGTTTTTTCAAATGTACCAAGTAGTAACAACATTTACAGGGCAAGGAGTTGAAAGGAACATTGATGGGTCCACTGTTTTCTGGAAACAAGTGGGACTCTATTAGAGATGTTCTTCATCAAGAGTCATGCTAATGGCACTTAAGAAAAAGGGAATGGGAGCCCAGATCCTATCAAAAACAAACTAGAGTACTGGGAAGAGGACATATTCCGAAAAAATAAAAAACTGTACCGTCTGAAATTGCTACACCTCTATCTAATCTGCAAAGTGGTTAAAGTACTGTTGCATCTCAAACTCACCCTGCTGTGCCTTTGAGCTCAGTTGACTTTACAAAAATGACAGTTCCTCAGCTTAAAGAAGAATTAAAGGAAAGAGGAAGCAAAGACATTGCTAAGAAAACAAAACATTAGCTTGTAAGCTTACTGAAGAGCATTACTGACAAAGAAAACCAGTCAACCTCTATTTAAAAAGAAATGACATTGTCATTAGATGCAGATTGTAAAGTGGCATAGCATATAGCATTTGGCCTGCTGCAGGTGTAATAGCTGTACCTGTTGTAATAATGGCCTGTTAATATCCTGATAGGTGCAGATAAACTCAACAGGTTTCTTTAATCTAGACCAGCATCATGTTACAGTACCATAATTCTTTTTGCACCGATAAATCCATATAACAGTAACAAAATGCCTAAACACTACACCCATCCCACTTTATAAGATAATCAATCTGAGAAATCAAAATTATTCATTTTACTGCAAAACTCAAACGTTCTTTAAATCTTAATCTTACATCAGATAGACTTATCAACAATAAAATCAAGTGAACTTCATGTGTTCTTCATAGTGGTTAATAAGCTGGGATTCACTGCTCAGTTTTTCCTGACAAATCCAGCAAGTAAATGCTTCATTGCAATCTGAGGAATCTGGCTGTTGCTGTCCAGAGTGCAATTTTTCATGCCTTTGAAGTGTTCTCTTCTGAGTAAACCACTTGTCACAAGCTTTGCACTGGTATGGCCTCTCTCCAGTGTGGGATCTTTCATGTCTATGTAGATTTCCTTTATGACTAAACCACTTATCACAGCTTTTACACTGGTATGGCTTCTCTCCAGTGTGGGATCTTTCATGTGCTGTTAGATGACCCTTTCGTGCAAACCCTTTGTCACAAGTTTTGCACTGGTATAGCCTCTCTCCAGTGTGGGATCTTTCATGTCTATGTAGAGCACCCTTTTGTGCAAACCCTTTGTCACAAGTTTTGCACTGGTATGGCCTCTCTCCAGTGTGGGATCTTTTGTGTACTGTTAGATGACTATTTTGTGCAAACCACTTTTCACACGTTTTGCACTGGTATGGCTTCTCTCCAGTGTGGGATCTCATATGTGCTTTTAGAGTTTCTTTTTGCATAAACCACTTATCACATGTCTTACACTGGTATGGCTTCTCTCCAGTGTGAGATCTTTCATGTTTATTTAGATTTCCTCTATGACTAAACCACTTGTCACAGCTTTTACACTGGTATGGCTTCTCTCCAGTATGAGATCTCATATGTGCTTTTAGAGTTTCTTTTTGTGTAAACCACTTATCACATGTCTTACACTGGTATGGCTTCTCTCCAGTGTGGGATCTTTCATGTCTACGTAGATTTCTCTTATCACTAAACCACTTGTCACAGCTTTTACACTGGTATGGCTTCTCTCCAGTGTGGGATCTTTCATGTACTGTTAGATCACGCTTTTGTGCAAACCCTTTGTCACAAGTTTTGCACTGGTATGGCCTCTCTCCAGTGTGAAATCTTTCATGTCTATGTAGATCACCCTTTTGTGCAAACCCTTTGTCACAAGTTTTGCACTGGTATGGCTTCTCTCCAGTGTGGGATCTTTCATGTGCTGTTAGATGACCCTTTCGTGCAAACCCTTTGTCACAAGTTTTGCACTGGTATAGCCTCTCTCCAGTGTGGGATCTTTCATGTACTGTTAGATCACGCTTTTGTGCAAACCCTTTGTCACAAGTTTTGCACTGGTATGGCCTCTCTCCAGTGTGGGATCTTTCATGTCTATGTAGATCACGCTTTTGTGCAAACCCTTTGTCACAAGTTTTGCACTGGTATGGCCTCTCTCCAGTGTGGGATCTTTCATGTCTATGTAGATCACCCTTTTGTGCAAACCCTTTGTCACAAGTTTTGCACTGGTATGGCTTCTCTCCAGTGTGGGATCTCTCATGAACCTCTAGATCTCTTTGTCTATGAAAGCACTTGTCACAGCTTTTGCACTGGTATGGCTTTCCTCTAGCGTGAGATCTCTCATGTCTTTGTAGATTTCCTTTTTTTACAAAACACTGGTCACAAGTTTTGCACTGATATGGCTTTTTCCCAGAAGTGGACATTTTTTTTTTGCCATGCAAAGTGTTCTAAAATGTAAGCAAACAAAAAAGAGATTTACTCAACCAGATGCACATATTTCACAGGGTTTCAGAAGCAATGTTTTAAGTTTGAATAAACAAAGAAATTGGATGGTGAGTTGGGTAAAATATGTTTCAAACACTGTAGTACTCTTCCAGGAAAGGAAGTTCTACTATAACAATTGCCACTAACAAAGGGATTCACAGACAGTGCAATTTCTGGCAAAAGCCCTGAAAGAAAAACCTTCACATGAGTAAGGACCTACAAAGAGAAGTGCATTTCCAACAAGTCCCTTTACATAGCCTCACACAACCAGTTCACACAATCTACATGTTGTCCTTGTGATGTTAAACTTTAATCTATAGTTGTCACTGTCTCAAGTGGAGAACCCAAAGTACAAAAACTGGACAAAACAAATTTCTAGTGGACACTACAAAAGAGATTCCCAATAGACTTTAATAGAGAGAATCCCGTTAAAAGGTAAGACAATGATAAAAATCACAAAAAAAGGAGTTTAACACCTCATGCGGCTACTGATATAGCACAATTTCTATAAAGTATCGAAAAGAATTCAAGATTGTCTAATGATACTAGAAGGTAGTGTTGCACAAGATTTGTCTCTGGTGCAGAAAGCCAACTGCACCCCACATATTTACAAGTACCCTGTTCCACAAGAGAAAGATGATTCAAGAATATACTGATTACTTGACACTCACCCGATAATTGAATGGCAACAATAATATTAACAATATTAAGCATAATAATGTTAACAACAGTAATAGTTGCCATAATTTATATCTGCTAGCTCAAAAAGCTCACCGTTCCTCTATCAGTCTATCCTCTAGGCCCAAATAATGATTAAACTATGCTCCTTTTGTTTTTATTCTGTTGATTAAAATTAATTTTCCCTTTTCCGCATGCTAAACTCAAGGTATCTTAGTTAAGACATCGCTTCCCTTCTCAAATTTGGCAGCTCTTTTGGGTATAAATTGCTGATTGAAATGGTAAAATGCTCCCTCCTCAAATAAATAAAATTAGTCTTCAGAGCTTGTATGACTAAGATCAACTTTCCACATATTTATGCCATGAACAGTCTTGTCATCAAATACGTGCCTGAGACACCAGTGTAAAATTATTTTGAGAGATTTTATCATCATGTGTAGTGTCACGGCAAGGACTAAAAAAAAATTTATGCAAATGAGGCTGAGGCGGATCTGAGATCCGCCTGGCAATTATTAACTGTAAGAGAAGAACTGACTTCGCACCCACAGAATGACCGAGGTGTTGTGGATGAATTTTCAGTAATTACTTTTTTGGCACTTTCCGGTGTCCAAATTGCATGGCGAGAGTAACCCAAAACCTTAAAGTAGACCCTTCTTGTCACAATACGAATGTTTTCCAGATAGGGACACACATTAATGTCAGCTTCACTCGTGTGATTGCATTTTTCAAGGTTAAACCCTCGTGTGGAACTAACAACTCAAGTTTACTTTAAAGCGCACAATGTAAGCCAAAGAAATTTTATAATTTAACTACATGATCGAAATTTTGTTTACGAAGGATAATAATGGATCGACATCGACCTGAGCGTCAGCTTCACTTATGGGAGTCAACCATTTTCTCTTGCCCTTGCGCAACATAGAATGCAAATTTGCTGACCCACTCTATTGATACACACAACTCGACAGTCGTTAAGAGTTTAAAAAGATGAAGTTTTTTACCAAAACCATGTATTTCCAATTTTTAAACGCTAACAAAAATGTAGTAATGGTCCACTTCGGAAAATAATACCGCAAGCAACAGCAAGCCCTAACCGCGATGAGAACACTCATGGATCACACAGCGCAACAGACCTCATTTTGTTTGTTTGTTTGGGTTTTTTCCGATAATATTGTAAAGAAATATATAACTGAGTTTTTTTGCACCCTCCACTGCAACCATATAATTGGCTAAATGCTAACGGAGTAATATACTTTAAAGATATCATTAAAGGAATAAAATCTTTAAAAAGATTTTCCTGCTGGGGTTTCCTGGCACGCCACTGCGAACACAGCGAACCTCTTGTATAAGGCTGCGAGAAAATAAAAAAGGACAAGTAGAAAAAGTTCTTTACTCACAAATCTCTTTTACAATCTATGACCCATTTTACATCTCCTGTCTGAAGCAAGAGTTGGAAATGTAAATACAATTTAATACGTTACGAGAAGAGGTATTTTACTCGTTGGTAATTTTATTCCTAAACTTGTTATTTATTTTTAATTGAAATATCACGGGATTTGAGGACAGACACCACCAAGGCAAACACAACATCGACGTACAAATTACCAGTCAACGGAACGTGCACTTATTTGGTTAGTCATCTCAACAGGAAAGCTATCTTTTTTTATCAAAACAAACATTGCTTTTTCATCGCGACTTTTCGCGGTTAACGTTCAATGAAATCTGCAAAGGAAAAAAGTTTAAGTCAAGTAAATTTAATTATGTCACAATTCATACTCAAAATTAGTTTGTCATAAGATGAAAACACACAGTCTAAATTGAAACAACTCCCAAAGAGACAGAACCAAATAAAAAAAGGAACGATTTTGCCTTCAGATAACAACTGTCCAAATAGGACTGACTACCCAAGAGAGGCAGAACCAAATGAAAAAAAAAGGAAAGGTTCTGCCTTCAGATAACAACAGCCCAAATAAGACTGACTACCCAAGAGAGACAGAACCAGGTGAAAAAAAAAGAAAGGTTCTGCCTTCAGATAACAACAGCCCAAATAGGACTGACTACCCAAGAGAGACAGAACCAGGTGAAAAAAAGGAAAGGTTCTGCCTTCAGATAACAACAGCCCAAATAGGACTGACTACCCAAGAGAGACAGAACCAGGTGAAAAAAAGGGAAAGGTTCTGCCTTCAGATAACAACAGCCCAAATAGGACTGACTACCCAAGAGAGACAGAACCAGGTGAAAAAAAAAGGAAAGGTTCTGCCTTCAGATAACAACAGCCCAAATAGGACTGACTACCCAAGAGAGACAGAACCAGGTGAAAAAGGGAAAGGTTCTGCCTTCAGATAACAACAGCCCAAAAAGGACTGACTACCCAAGAGAGACAGAACCAGGTGGAAAAAAAAGGAAAGGTTCTGCCTTCAGATAACAACAGCCCAAATAGGACTGACTACCCAAGAGAGACAGAACCAGGTGAAAAAAAGGGAAAGGTTCTGCCTTCAGATAACAACAGCCCAAATAGGACTGACTACCCAAGAGAGACAGAACCAGGTGAAAAAAAGGGAAAGGTCCTACCTTCAGATAACAACAGCCCAAATAGGACTGACTACCCAAGAGAGACAGAACCAGGTGGAAAAAAAAGGAAAGGTTCTGCCTTCAGATAACAACAGCCTAAATAGGACTGACTACCCAAGAGAGACAGAACCAGGTGAAAAAAAGGGAAAGGTTCTGCCTTCAGATAATAACAACCCAAACAGAACTGACTACCCATGAGAGACAGAACCAAGTGGAAAAAAAAGGAGAGGTTCTGCCTTCAGATAACAACAACTCACATACGAATGACAAAACCGGGAAAAAAATATAAAAATGAAGGTTCTTCCCTCACGGAGATAAGTCAGGCAACTAAAGACTGATTACCCAAGAGAGTGGGTAAGAAATAACAAAAGAACGAGAGCATCTTTAGGATTCTGCTTTCGAAACTGCGAAATAGTACCGTACGATTAGTAAGAAAACACACTAACCTGCTAAGAGTGCGTTATCATATAGGGAAGGAATATTTGAGCTCTGATGTCAGGGTTCATTCCATAATTAGTTCATCTGGCTCATGTTAGGTTTCAACAGTTGGATAATACACCATGTGATTTTAAGCATCTGTCACCTGACTATCACAGAAATAATTCCTTCTCTTGCTTCGAAAGCACAGAAGTAAAGGTAAACCTTGCTTTGCTGATTGGATGGTTTGGGCATCATCATTTTCCGCTCAAAGGTTATTAAGCAGCGAGATTTATCGCACGTCATTATATAGCTCTAGACAGAAATTATCAGGCATACAACCTTACCTAAAAGCCAAATTGGACAGGCCAGCGAATAGAATTTCTTCCTCGCGAAGTAATACACAGTTAAGACCTTACCTTAAGGAAAGAACGATGGCCCCTTTTCGCAGATACCGCCGAATACACTCGTACCTTCGCACAGAATTTTCGCGGGATAAGTTCCCGCGCTTACCTCATGATTGGGACTTACTAAAATGATATTTTATACTGAAAGAGCTCCTTAGTATGGACGCCAGAAAAGTATTATCAAAATATCTACCCAATCGTTTCAAGAGTTAAATGATACTCTTGTATCTCCAGAACATACTGAAGTCGAAATCTCTCTTGAAAACAAGGTCCTTACCGAGCGGCTCACCGGCCTCCATGCTGACTTAGAGTCAAAGGTCTGATCAGAGTGAAATATAAGTTGGCTAACACAATTTAATTTTGGTATTGTCGTGACAGAACAGATAATCGCTCTTTGCGTCACAAACCAATAGATCTGTAGATCACGGACAAAACATGCTGGGTACAACAACTGTTACTTGATAGTCATGTCACGCACTACAACCAGGCTATCCTCAAATGCCATGACACACTACGGCTTAGCTAAGCTGTTCTTATCGCTGAATCATTCTACAATTATAAAAATTGCCATTCACGCCATGAATGCGTAGTTATTTCTAAAGAGAAAATTATGCAAAAGAGTCCTAAATTTTCGTAGCACTCCTAACGCGCAAGCCGCGCGGATCCTCGCGCCTGTTTACATTTTAATTGTTAACTTCAATTAATTTCACGCTCGAAGCCAAACACCTCGCTTTCACTTGCTAATTGAGTCCTCTCGCTTTACTTTGACAAGCCTATGGATCATTTTACGCATCCCTGGTGTGAATTATTTTCTTGAGCAAAGCTCGTCACGATAAAAAAAATTACCTTCTTTCATCAACACTCCTACA